TAGGCCCGGGCCTGCCGGCCTCTCCAGACAGCGGGTCGGAGGCAGTGGGGCCCCCCTTGTGCAGCTGCAGCGGCAAAGTGTCGGGGGCCTTTGCAGGCCTTCCTGCGGCCCAAGAGGGGCCCCCAGGGGGCCCCTCAAGGGGGGGGCGGCTCAGGGGCCGCTGTGGGGGCTCTTTGACTCCAAATAAGAAGTCTGACACGAAAGTGGAGGCCCCTTTTCGGCGCTTGAGGCTGGTGGGAGCTGAAGAGGCCCCCCAGGCAGCAAGCCGCTCGGAGGCCTCGGGGCTTACTTCCAGCTCCTGGAAGTCTTCCCCGGATATTGACGGAGAGGGGGCGTTGGGGGCCCCCACGGGCTTCACTGTCAACGAGCCGAGTGACGAAGACCTGGGGCCCCCCTTTCTTCAGGGGGGCCCCCCACACAACCTCAGCGGGTACGAGGCCCCCACTTCCGAGGACCTGCAGCAGCAGTACAGTTGGGACCCGCCCTTGGGAAACACTCCGGAACCTTCCGCATTTTTCGAATCTCCCGCAGTCCACAGCAGCACAGCAGTGGGAGTGGCAGCAGCAAATGCCTCTGGCGCCCAAGGAGGCATGCAAGAGGACTGCCGTTTCTGGGTGCCTGCTGAGTCGCCCGCGGGGCCTTCTTGCTACTTTCCATTTAGACAAGAGGCGGCAATGAGACTCCCGGCCTCCTGGGAAGTTCAAGGGGGCTTCGAGGGTCCTCCTCTATTGACTCCGTGTGCAGAGAGGCCTGCCGGAGGCCCTCTCGAAGGCCAGGAGGCCTTGTTGCACAGCTGCAAGCAAGGGCCACCTCTTTTCTGCCCCGCGGGTGCGTCTTGTGCTTCAATTAGTCGCCTGGGGGTCCCCACGGGCACCTCTCCCGAAGCCTATGGGGCCCCCGTATCCCACCTGACCACGCCGGGGTTTACGCAGCTTCCGCTAGCTGGCCGGTTCCCGGGAGCCGAGGGGCCCCCTGAGGCGCTAGCGGGAGTTGCAGAGAATCTGGCAGAGGCCGCCGTTGGTCTGCCGGGGCCCCCTGACACCAGTGACACCCAATGGCTACAGCTGCCAGTGCAGCAGGTAAAGGGAGAGCAGCACTCAGCAGTTTCCTCTTCGAGCTCTCTGGGCATTTCACGCGGCTTAGTTAATAGATACCCGTGTGAAAATTTGTTTCCGGGCCGGGTACGTATTGTCAAGGTAGTGCGAGGTGAGGCCGCGGGCTCAGCTGGCGTTAGGGGTGCTGTCGTTCATTATGTGATTGCTGCTTCACCAGGCAAAGCAGCAGACCCCAGCCGAAACGTTTGGGGCACCTGCTCTATCCTGGAGGCACGACGGTTCTGTCCGGGAGCGCTTTGTGATTACCTGCTGCGGAAAGCTCTGTTCAAGAGCGCAGACAAGCAGGCTCAAAGTCAGAAGGGAATGGTGACCACCGGCCAGCCCTGTGCAGCAGTTGCCTCTGTTCCTCACAGCCCAGAACTAACCTACAATCCCGTACTGACACAGGACAGCAACAGCAGCAGCGTTGACAACGGCAGCAGCAACTGCGACAGCAACGTAAACGGGCTCAAAGAAGCCTTTGCTGCTTCCCAGAGCTCTTTCCCCGCCACAGCTGAATTCAGCAGGAGCGCCAGCTGTTTCTGATGGCATCTTGTGGGCGGCTGACAGGTTGTAGCAGCAGTGGTGAGACACTGGGAGCTGCTTATGAATAGGCCGCCTCTGTTGGTGTATGCTGCTTGGGCGCATACCTTTGTGGAGCCGTTATGTGCTCCTCTTCGTGCAAATAGATGCTCTTTTCGAGCCTGACGAAGGGAATGGGCTCCGGGCAATCCTTTTTGAGCGAACTCGAACCGACTTCAAGTTTACTTTATCCCTTGCGTGGGCGCGGGGGCAGCTCTTTTCGGTAAGGGCAACGGCAACAGCAGCGCCCTCAGCTAGCTGGGCATGTGTGTGATGTGACCTGTATGCAGGCTGTTAGTTCTGTGGGCTGCTAAACATAGAAGGTGAATGAACACTATGAAGGTATCTCGAACATGCACAATAAGACAACTATGTCGCGTAAACTTGCAAGTGACATTTAAGTGGGCTCTTCGCAACTCACGCCCTCTCACTAAGCCCTTTCAGCATTCCCTGGGTCTGGACTGTCCGGGGCAGGGGATCTCTGCGTTTCTACTGGTAGGTAAGCGAGTCAACGGCAACTATAGGTTCAGACAGCCGACGTGTAACGACTTGACGCGTAACTAACCGAACGAACGGGCTACGACGCTAAGAGAAAAACCTGAAAGGGCTGGACAGCCCACGGCTTCAGTGGGCGGCAAAGCCCTGCTGACTGGGTGTCAGTCACGCCGCGGGAAAGGTAATTCGTTAGCCTTTCTGTAGTCCGTCTCACAGCGTTGATTGTTATCAGATACTGGTTAGCGTGGCTCTAAGGAGACAGCTGCTACCGTGACAGCGCTGAGACCCCTCACGCCAAAGCCAGCAGAGTAGGGGCTAACAAGCCAAGCCTATGCAGCCACGCTGGGGCTCTGCAACACTGGCACTTCGTAATATAGTAGGCAGACCAGGGAGGCACAGCGCGACACGCGGAACGGCTGGCAGAGAGCGGCAGACGAAGAGGAACAGACGAAGCCCGACATCTACAAATGAGCGTGCGCCGAAATAAAAAGACAGACCAGGACTATTTGTTCATTGTGTGTGGGCAGCTAGAATTTGCGGCTCGGACGCATAAACGCGAAGCACCGTGGGACCCTGTTTTCTCCCTCGCCTTGCGTGCTTTGTGTTTGTATGGCATAGCCAAAAGCCAAAATTTAGCAAAGGCTTCCCGGGTGTGGCTCTGCGCTTTTGACGCAGATGCTCGGAAGTCGTGCTTGGCGTGGGCAGCTTGAGGAAAAGCCTGTGGAGCCCCTTCCTCCTGCAAAGCTTCTGCGGGGGCCCCTTTTAAGGGCATCAACCCCGACCTCTGCCGGCGATCAAACACACAGGGTGCCCGTAAACACATTAGGTGCCTGCTGTTGCTTTTGCGTATAAAGAAATCCAGATAATGACGGTGGGCACAGCTGAAATGAGAGGTCTTCAGTCCTCATATCGCTCCACCGATGCAGCCATTTGCAGGTCTGCACAGCAAAAACAACGGCAAACAACATGACTGCAAATATGCCTACGCAAACCAAATCAGGCTGCTGCAGCAGCAACTCGCGGCATCGTGTGCGTATTTGTACATGTTCGTGCTGCTTCCGACCCCCACAAGATCGGAGTGTCCGTATTCACCTTTTAGGGGCACTTGCTGCATCCAGCAGAATATCCTCTCCGCACCTCCTCCATGCACAGGGGCTCCCATGCCCTCATGCCACTGGGGGGCTCTGGGAACCACACAGCCGTGCTGAGGACAGCTAGTGGGGCTCTGTAGCAGGCAGAAAGGCGGCGAAACCAGCAGAGGCCCCCAGCCTACACTGCCTGCTGACGCCAGGGGCACCGACCGTGCTATGGGGTTTAAGAAAGCACCCGAGGGAGGAACCGGGCAGGCCGCTGTGAACTGGCACACACATGGAGCGTGCTGACTGTGCCCATGTTGCTGCTGCGGTGGCTGCTGCTGTTGTTGCATTTGTTGCTGCTGAATCTGGCGGTGGAGGAGCTCCGCATTGGGGTGGCGCTGGCAAAAGCAAGGGGCGACAAGGCCCTGAGAAGCCGGGGGGAAGGGGAAGAGGGCCTGCAAATGGGGCACGGCGTTGGTGAGCTCACATGCGTTCTGGGCAAAGCATCCAAAGTGCTGATGCGGGGTTCCCGGTAGCTGCTGCAAGTTCGGCGGCACGGCAGAAGCCAGAGCGCCCCACGTGCAGGCGGGGCCGCACGGGGGCAGCTGGTGCAACGGGGAACCTAAAGGCCAAGTGCCCTCTTCCGCAGAGCATCCTTCCTCAACTGAAGGCGACGGGGAGCTCACGAGGCACCACGCGGGAGTGAGGGACTGCGGAGTTCCCAGTGCTGAGTCCGCCGACACTTTGTGGTGTCCCACCACCTTGCTAGAGTTTACTGCGGGGTACGGGGCCCCTCCATGAGCAGAAACGACTCCCGGAGACGCGGTCTCCAGGCCCTGACGCGACAGGCGAAAACCCCTGAGTACACGGGCCCCTCCATTCTGCTGCACCTGCTGCTGTTGTTGCTGCTGCGACTGCTGCTGCGACCCGCTCTGCTTCAACGCACGCGGAGAAACAGCTCGCCTCTGTCGCGGCTGCGGTTGGTGCAAGCTTCCATCTTGCTGCTGCTGCTTTGGTACCTTGCGCGTTCCTCCCGTTTTCCTTCTAGCGGGGATTGCGCTGCTCAAAGATGAGCTATGGGTTACTCCATTAACTGCCACGGGCTGTTGCTGCTGTTCTTGCTGCTGCTGCTGCTGCTGCTGCTGCTGCTGCTGCTGCTGCTCACCCTGCTCCTCTTGCTGCTGCTGCTGGCCTGTAGGGCAGGCTGCGGGCTCGCGTCCATTTTCAGACGTTTGTGGTTGGCGGTCTGCCAGGCTGTTCAGCTTGAGTCGATGTAGTGCACGCTGTAGCTGTTCTTCCTCTCCCAGTGCTTCATCAGTTGCTGGTTTTTTGTTTTCACTGTCACCTTGGGGGCCCTTCGCCGCCTCCTCCGCACGCTTGCTGCAAGCATCTCCCGCCCCGGAGGCCCCGTCCTGCTGCTTGGAACCCTTTGATCCCTGGCCCCCGAGAGAACCCCCCACTGCTGACGAGTCCTCTTCTTCAGTTGCAGTTGTTGTTTCCTTCGACGTTGTTCCCTGTGCTTGCGAGCCCAAAAGAAGCGCTATGTTCTTGCGAGCCAGCTGACTGCGCGTCCACCCCAAACGCAACGAGCAAGCAAAAAGATTAGTCATGCCCAATAAACCGCTTTCCCGCTGCAGACCCCCTTTCAAGTGTGCATTCTGGAACGAGTCTAGCAGCTAACGAATGGTAAACAATGCCTAGCTGTAGACAACTGACGGTCCTTGGCTCGGCAACTGCAACTACTCATCCCACGTTCTAAGCTATATCTGGCTGCGCCCATAACTACCACGAACCTAGCCGCTCACTCCCGTGAGCACCAGAAGAAGCCACAGTGCCATGCGACTCCAGTGGAAAAGTCAGGACTGCATCATCCCTTAGCCGCACGCTAGCGATCTACCACTTTGTACTACATCTACTGTGCACAAGTGTTTGCTTGCAACAGAGCCGCAGACTTGCAGCAGGAAAAGCGGTTTAACTCTGCCCACTAAGACACTCCGCAATACGTACTGTGAAGGAACTGAAGGAGCCACTGCACGCAACATATGCACTGTGCACTTGCACAGGTGACTGCGGTCATGGGGTCACTGATGCTGCTAACTTTGCAGCACCTAGACAAACTGCCAAGTCTCGCTCCCACTATCATCCCCACTCCACCCCCCATCAGCCTTCCTCACGTTTTAGGGCGCAGCTCCTCCACACCATGAGCGTGCCGGCAAACATCTCGCGACGGACAGCTGCCAGCTAGCCACAACTGGCAAAGTTCGGTCTGCAGCGGCGAATACGAAATAGACACAAAGAACAAAGAGAGCCCAATCAGCAGCAGAAGGAGCATTCGGTAGCGCCAACAGCGCCCAATAGTGAAGAGAGAGGCGCAGGCGCAGTTTACATAAAGTTAAGGGAGCAAGTCGGTACTTGTGGATGGCCGGGAAGCAGGAAGGTAGGTGGCCACTTCAAAAGCTCAAAAGCCGTGAAGCCACGCAAGAGCAAACCGCCGAGCATAAGAGCTGCGGCAAAAAAATGAGCGCAAGCAGACGCCCACAAAGGCAGCAAAATATTGCCTGCTCCAACTCACTTTGTAGTAGCCAGTAGTGTGGCGCAGCTCCTCAGCCCCATGCGCGAAATTGCATTCTTCGTTGGTGCATTCACCCTGAAAAAAGACAGGCCGCAGGCTGCACAGACACCGCAGAGCTCTGCATGCACCAGAACCTCACAGGTGGGCTGCCTACGTGTTCTCCGGGTGCTAGCAAATAGCAACAGCCTGCCCAAGTAACCATTTACACAAGAAAATGAGAGGTATGCGCCTCTGCACTGCAGCACGTATACCAACAAGAACAAAACAGAAACAGTGTCAAAAGAACTGCATGCAGCCACCGCTGTGGCGCGACTCAAGTCGAAACCCCAAGCGAGTTTGGCAGGAGGTGAATCTGCACTGACCCTCTTAAACGCATCGCAGAGCTTCGTTTTGTACAGGGGCAACCAGGGCCTGAGCTGCTCGGGTGTATGTGCATAGTTGCACAAGTCGCCGTGCCGACAACAGCCCTCAGCAATCCAGGGACACATTTTTATCCTGAAAAGAAGGCATGCAATTAACGGGTTCCTGAGCCTTTTCTGCAAGCCCAAGCCTGCAGCGCTGGCTTCCCACAGCGCTTTGCGAAAAGTCAAGGAAAACATGAACAGCATATTCATGTACAAAGACTGCATGCGTTCGGCGCCTGGGAGGCACGGAAGCAGCAAATTTCTGCGGGGCCCGTCGAAATGCCCACAGACGCGCACAGGCAATGGAGGAGCTTCACAAAAAAGGAAGACTGGGACCGAAAGGGACTTCTCACCTGAAGAAGCGATCCCACGCGAGTCTGACACTGCCTTTGCCCGGGCCACCAATCTTGCGCTTGGAGAGGGGCCTCATCTTCTCCTCGGGCTGGATATGGCGTTGCTGGGGCTGCGTGCCCTCAGCTAGCTCCCGGGGCCCACCCCGTTCCTTCTGGAGAAGGGCCGGCTTGACGGGCTCCATGGCTAGCTGGACGCGGGCAAGGGAGGGCTAGCTGGCTAGCTGGCTAGCTGGCGCGGGGGAGAGCCGGCGGGTGCGCAGTGCAGGCCCAGGGCAGGCTGGCCCGAGCTGGAGCCATGAACTGTTTGTCGGGGAGGGAACAAAAGGCGGGACCCCAAGGGTCTGTGTTGCAGCAAACAAGCAACGCGCGAGTGCTATGTGTACTTACCAGCGACAGGAGGCTGCCTGGGAGGTTGTTGCCGACTACTTGGAGGGGTTCGACACCTGAAATAATGGCAATAGATATGGAGGGCCCCCAGCAGTGACACTGAGCGAAACAGCCAGCAATACGAAACGAAGGGAGGGGAGGGACCAGTGGGGGCGACCACCGACCTGTCTGTGTGCCCACGGGGACGTGAATTAGGGGTCTAGACGCTGAGACGGAAAGCTCTAATGAAGGAACATACGTTCAAATACCTCTTAGGATATAATGAGGTCCTTGGCCAGGGGAAGGGGATCAGAAATACACCTGTTACAAATATGGATGGCCCTAGCGCCCCCCACGAGACTCTGTTCTAGGCTCTGCGTCGGGTGTGGCAGAGGCCAACTGCGCTTTTTCTCCCCCAAAGGATGAATGAATCAAATAATTAAAAGGATGGAGTGATTAATTGAACTCTCAAGCCATTCAGGCACCCCTTTTACGCGGTAAAGACAGACAGACGCCCACAGTGACGCGAACGACGCCAAGTGTAAAGCACCAGTGGGAGTGGGGCTCTATCGATACGGGGGCTGCTTGGACTATCTCTTTCTTTCGCGAGCCTCGGGTATTTTCTTTTACCCTTCCCATGAATGTAATTTTATTTCCAATTCGTTTCATGTTTTTACGCCTCTTTGCCGCAGAAAGCAACCCCGCGAACCAGCCGCAGTCCACGCACCCGGAGATCGACCACTAGACCTGTCCGGCACTCAACTCAATACGACTGCCATTTCTGGTCTAATTTTAACAACAAATTTCAAAAATCCTTATTTTCAATGGCAGGGACACATGAGACGCAGTGAAGTGCTCTCTATCTCCTCAGTCTCAATAGTTGCGGCTCTGCCGTGCAAGGGGTCCGCTTTCGAAGCCATACCTTTAGGGCTTTATGTTTAGCGCCCAGCGTTAAGAACTTAAAAACTGAACAATCCTTAATAAAAAAGTAAAGACTCCCCTGGAGCCAGCGAATGGCAGTTGGAGGCACCCACAGTTTTAGACTTCTCCTGGAGGCGACCCCAACATAGAGGATCTGGCGGATACGCTTCTGGGGCCAAAGGCTAGCTTCTCTGAACATCTTAACAGTGTTTAATGTAAAGTAGTGATAAACTATCACTAAAGAGCCTCTCTGTGGCCATAATGCAGCAGCCAGTTCAGAGTTAGAGAGCACCGCGCATAGGGCCACTGGGCACTGACCAGACAGCTCTTCCCCTTAGCTGCACACACTGGGTTACTTGCTGCATTTGTTGCATTTAATAGCTCAAGTGCTGCACTAAGACTGCAATCCAGTGGAAATACACTGGTTCTAAGTCCCAGTTTGCTGCCGGTGCGGGCACTGTACCTTGGAGAGAACGCATGCATCCACTGCAACAATTACAGCCCAGAAGCCAGCTGGCTCTAAAAAGATTCCTCTTGAAGCCCCAGGCTGAGGGCTGGCAGCTGGAGCTGCAGCAGAGAATCTGCAATAACGCCTGCGCTGAGAGAAACAGAGGAAGAAGTAGCGTGATTCTCAGAAGCTTGTCAAAGAAATCTACAAAAATAGATGCTGCGAAAGTTTCTTTGTCGTTTTGCGGATTCACCCACACCCAGAGAGCCTTCGTTGTTTCCAGTGTAGTGACAACTCAGCGAATACACCAGGCCACCACCTGTAGGCCCCTAGGCCAGAACTTCAGTTTTTTACGCTGCTGCCGATCCCCGGGGCCCTCCTGAAGTTATCCTCAGAGAGTTGAGGGCTTTTAATGAGGGGTTGAGCTGAAAAGGCCCCCCAAGAGGGACCCTTTGGCCAGGCAGGGAGGCCCAGAGGCCCTTACCTGGGGGCCCCCAGGGGAGGCCCTCCTACAGAAGTCCTAACCCAGAGAATTCAGAAACCTGAAGGGCCCCCTTTTGGGCTGCAGTGCAGTTTGTTGCCACATAAAAGCGAAGTACCTTTCGTGTCAGTCACTGTTGCTCTTATAGACAGGCAATTTCTCCCCAAGGGAGATCCCTCTGCATCATTTTTGCTTCTATTGTCTCTTTAGACATTTCTAATTTGTTGTTTTAGGTCTTTTCTTTTGAGCCGCTTACTCTAGTGCCAAGCACGGGCCTATGGCCTCGAGGTCAAGCTGTATTCTGATTTATTGCTGTTGTTCAACTTGTTGGAATTTCATTCCTCTCTGCACTGACATTCTTATTCCTGCGCTCAGGGGCCCCTTCATCCTTGTCGGGATCCTAAATAAGAGTCTGAGAATACTTTCAACTGTATTTGTGTTTCCTTCATTTAATTGTGTTCGTGCTTTCTCCAGCCAATTTGCAGTGCAGCTGTTTGTGTCGATGCATGCATGCTCTCTGTGTCCTTCCAACAGCACAAATACGGATTTGTTGTACTTATTTATGCCAACGCATTGATGCAAATATGTTTTACATATTTAAATGCACTTGAGTGCGTGTTTGGGCATGCATGACATGCAAACATGAGCAGATAAGCGGGCAGTTGCGAACGGTTGCTTTCCCGCTTGCGCACCACTGACACCCGCCGTTCAGCTTCACAGCCTGCAGCAGCACCAGCAGCAGCAGCTGCTGCTGCTGCAGCATTCGCAGGAGCAGCAGCTGCAGCGTTCCCAGCAGCAGCAGCAGCAGCCACAGCCACATCGCAGCAGAACCAAGAGCAATCTCAGCGTACTTCTTCCCGGGCTGCACCGGCTGCCGCGGAAGACTTCTACACCCGCTGGGGCCTTCAAGACCCTTTAGCCTTTCGAGCTTCATTGGGGGCCCCAAAGGGGCCCCCACAGAGCTTTCTGGGGGCCCTCAGGGGCCCCACTTCAGGGGCTCCCAGAAAGCTTTCTAGGGGCCTCTTATGCGGGCTTGAAGAAAACGCGGATGTCACGCAGCGCGCGGCCGTGAAGCAGCTTGGAGTGACCTCCCGATAGTGAAGATGGCTTCTGCACACATAGCAGCAGAAGCAGCAGCAGCAGCAGCAGCAGCAGCAGCAGGTGAGGCACGCAGCCACAGCCGTGAGGAGTACGGAGGCAAACGCTTGTTAGCGGCAAGACAGACAATGTGCGCCAAAAGGAGCGGCAAGCAAGTGGGATCAGTCGCAGCAGCAGCAGCAGCAGCGCGCCAGCAAGTTCAAAGACAACAAGAGAAGGCAGCAGCAGCAGCAGCAGCAGCAGCAGCAGCACAACCAAAGCCTTAACAAAGGCTGCAGCAGTTCTTATTTGTGGTGGCTTACAGAGCGCGGAGCTGAAGAAACGCCGCAGGACAAAAGGCTGGGCGAAACCCCTCTTCGAGCTGGGGACTTGGGGCCCCCGGCCAGGGTACCTGCAGGGGCCCCCGCTAGAATACCTGCAGGGGCCCCCGTGGGGGCCCCTGTGGGGGCCCCTGCAGGGGCCCCAGCGGGCCCCCGTAACGACCGGAGGGGGGTCGATGGGCCCCTTGACCTAGCGCCTGCAGAGCGTGGGGGCCCCAGCAACGAAGGCGGGGTGGGCGAGAGGGAAGTGAAGACTGCATTGTCCGTGCTGCTGCTGCTGCTGCTGCATGCTGCAGGAGAAGCTGAAGGGGGCGAAGAAAGCGCGGGGCGCAGCAGCAGATTCAGAGCGGCCTGGGAGTCCTCGATCCCGGGATCGTCTTCTTGAAAATCAAAGAAGTCCGGAGGATGCAATTCATTCTCCGTTGTCCCTCTGCCGACGGCGGTGGTGGTGGTGGTGCTGCTGCTGTTGCTGCTGTTGGCCTGTTTGGTGCTTGCCGTGGTATTGCTCCTGCTGCTGCTGCTGCTGCTGTTGTGAGCATGAGTGACTGCACAAGCTCGCTGCACTGTTCGCCTTGGTGGGGTCGCTGCTACCGTTGTTGGGGATGCTGCAGCTGCAACTGCTGCTGGTGCTGTTGCTGCTGTCGTTGACGTTTCCGCTGCTGCTGTTGCTGCTGCTACCGCTGGCGTTGCTGCTGCTGTTACAGGCCTCTGAAAAAGAGGAGAAGCTTCAGCTCGCACTATGCGAGGGTCGGAGCAATCCTGGGACTCGCTGCTGCTTATGCTGAATGCCTCAGGTGCCACATGCTGCTGCTGTTGCTGCTCCTGCTGCAGTAGCTCTTGCTGCTGCTGTTGTTCTTGCTGCCGCTGCTGCTGCTGCTCTTGTTGCTGCCGGCGTACTCGGTGAAGCTTTGCGACGCCGGTCAGCGCTGGAGCCCCTGCTGCTGCTTCTCCGGGCTCCAGCTCCGCCGCGTCTGAAGCAGCAACCCTGGAGCCAGCAGCAGCAGCAGCAGCAGCAGCAGCAGTCGCTGTAGCTGGAGCAGCAGCAGCCGCTGCTGCTGCTGGCGCTGAGGAAGCACCCTGCAGAGGCACACTCTCGTTACCACTGAGGCCCGCTTTGGGCCTGGCTGTGGGGCCCGCAGGAGCAACTACTCGGCTGGTGCGAAGAATAGTGCGTTGCTGCAGCAGCGGCCTCTGCTGCTGCTGCTGCTGCTGCTGCAGCAATCCCCTCAGTGCGCGCATGGACTCTGCGTTGCGTAGATTCTCGAATTCATCATCTTCTGAGTCTACAGAAATTGCTCCTTCCGCTGCTGCTGCTGCTGCACTTCCTGCTGCACCTCCATTTTGAGCTGCTGCTGAAGATGTTTCTGAAGGAGGCCTGCGCTTCTTCCTGAGCACAGCAGTTGCTGATGCTGCTTTTGCTGCTGCTGCTTCCACTGCCAACGACCCTGGAGCCGTTGCTGCTGCTGCAGCTGCTGCTGGTGTAGTGGCCGCCGCAGCTGCTGCTGCTGCTCTCTCGCTGCGGGTAGTCTTCGGTTCTGCTCCCGCGCTGCACAGCAACAAAGACAAAGAAACAGCAGCAGAAACAGCTCCAGCAGCAGCTGCTGCACAGGAGCAGCTGCAGCAGCAGCAGTTGCAGCAGCAATTGCAGCAGACCCGCACGCCATCTCCTTACCTGCACGTACACTGAACGGACTCCAGCGCCTCCAGCGCCTTGCGCATTCTGCAGGAACACAAACAGCAAAAAGAAGCAAATTCCAATTACTTGAAAGGGGGCCCCGGGGGGCCCCTGCTGCTGCAGTAGACCCTAGCAGCAGCCAAATTAGACCCTCTTTAGGTCTGTAGAGAGGCCTCACAAGGCCCAGGGAATTACAAGACATGTTAGGTGGCGCGAGCGCCGAATTTGGGGTTTAGGGTTTAGGGTTTAGGGTTTGCAGGACTCGTGGATGCGTTTCCTGGCCGTCAGTTCTTGTCTTAGTTTTTCTTTCTTGAGCCTTTCTTTGTCTCTGCGACAGATGGACAAACTACCGATTACAAGCCCTCATAGAATGCTGCAGCGAAATCCAGCAGCAGCAGCAGCAGCAGCAGCAACGGCAACAGCAGCAGCATCAGCAACACCAGAAGCCACTCACCTCTGCAGCACTGTAATGGCCCTGTGTAGCGTCAGTACTGCATCTTCCAGTCGTCCCCACTGAGCCGAAGCAGCAACAGCAACAGCAGCAGCAGCAGCGTCACAAACCATGAAATTGGCAGCGAGCCGCAGCACGCAGCAGCAACAGCAGCGGCAGCAGCAGCACGTACCGACTTAAAGTCATTGAGTAGCGCCTTCGCGCGATCCTCTGAGGGCGCATCTCCAATTAAGCTGCAACGGCAACAACAGAAGCAGCAACAGCAGCAGCAGCAGCAGCAGCAAGCACCTGTCGGAATGCAGCCAAGCGGGAGACCCCAGCTGCAGCCCCAGCCCCAGCCCCTGCTGCTGCATCAGATGGCACGGAAACAGCAGCAGCAGCAGCACTACCAGAAGATGCGCCTGCTGCCTGAATATGAACAGCAGCAGCAAAAACAGGGACGTTCGCAGCAGCAGCAGCAGCAGCAGCAGCAAAAGGTACCCATGGAGCGTCTTCTCGAGTGCTGTCTGCTGCTGCCTAGCCAGCTCAAGCTGGGCATGGGCTTTTCTTGTTTTCGCCTGTTCTACCACCAGCTGCCGCATTGTCTTCTGCAGCTCCTTTTCTGCTGCTGCTGTTGTTGCTGCTGCAGCTGCCTTCTCCTTTGCTGCTGCTGCTGCGCAGCGCCTCTCCACTGCAGCAAGTTCCTCAGCGTGGGCCTTTGCTGCGGCTTCCAGCTCCTCCAGGCGATTCTGCAATAGAGCAGCAAACAGCAACAGCAGCCATGCAGCAGCAACAGCAGCAGCAACAGCAGCAGCAGCGACAGCAGCTGCGGCAGCAGCAACTGCAGCAGCTTGGCCAGCGCTCAAAGCGAAGCGCCCACTTGCATCCCATTCTTTTCTCTTCGGATTGTCACGAGCTCCCCCTGAAGCACCGAAAAGTGCAGCACCAAACCCTAAACCCTAAACCCTAAACCCTAAACCCTGGGAGCAAGCCTGCAGCCTGTTTTCAGTGCGTACCCTCAATCTCTCCACGAGAGGCTCTGGCTCATCAGAGGCCAGGAGTTCTGCGCATGGCAGCAACACAGGCAAGACCACAAACCCTAAACCCTAAACCCTAAACCCTAGGCTCCGTACTGCAAACCCCAATCTGCAGGCTCCATATGAAAAGCCCCGAAGCCCCAAAGCAAGCTGAATGCAGCGGCTGCCCTAAACCCTAAACCCTAACCCCTAGAGCTGAAGCCTTTACCGGCCCAAAGCCCACGCCCCACGCCCCAAAGCGCAAACCCTAAACCCTAAACCCTAAACCCTCGTTTCTCTCGCCTGCCCTCGTGGAGCTCCACACGAAACGCAGCTTCAGCCGCGGGCCGCAGGGCTTCCTGCAAATGGGGCAGCCGGATCTGCTGCCCATGTTGCTGCTGGCCAGCCACTGTTCTACGCTGTACGTACACCGCAGCGCAGCAGCAGCACAGCACTCCAGCAGCAAACCGACGGGCAGCAGCAGATCTCCACCAGCTTCCTGGGGACCCCGGGGCCCCGCAGGGGCCCCCAACCACTTGGGGGCCCCTCTTGGGGGCCCTTCTTGGGGGCCCCCTTGGGGGCCCTCTTGGGGGCCCCCTTGGGGGCCCCCCGCTGCCTCTATCTCACCATTTTAGATGAAAGACGTGGCCGCAGGAAACAGCGGCGAGATCCGTCACTGCTGCTTCGAAGCAAATGGAACAGTCAGGAGGCTGAACCTCTCCCATTGCTGCTGCTGCTGCTGCTGTGCCTTTGCTGCAGCGGCGGCTGCTGCCGCCGCAGCAGCTTGCCACGCTAATGCGGCTGCTCTCCGTTCGCAAGGCGTTTCCTGCAGGCTGTCCCGCGCATGCCCTGCTGCTGCTGCTGCTGCATTTCACGCAGAGTGCAGCAGCAGCAGCAGCAGACACGGGAGGCCCCCAACCCCCAAATCGACGGCTGGGGGCCCTAATGGGCCTCTGGAGTTTCCTGAGTTTGAAAGGGAAGCATATCCGTTGGGTTGCAGTCACTGGCGCGGGGTGTATGTACACTTCAAGCAGCTCAACACGAAGCCGTGGGCCATCAAATGACGCTCAACTAATCCAAAACAAAAAATAAAAAGCTATTTCTCGAATTAAACGGAGCCTGCTCAGGGCCCCAAGAAATGGGTGTATTGGTGGGGTCGGGGGCCCCCGCCACTGGGGGGCCCCCATTGGGGGCCCCAAGGCACGCGGCAGTTCTGCCGTCGGGATTGTATTCGAAGTACCACCGAATATCTTTAAATATCAAAAATTTTAAATTAATTTGTTATTTTAAACTCATACATCAATTAAAATGGCGTAAATCCCGAAAAGGGTACTGAAAAGCTGCAGGCCATCGCCTGTCTCTTGGGGGGCCCCTCCTGGGGCCCCTCTCACTAAGGCGCTGTCGTCTGCGGGGTCTGAGGCCCCGCATCTTTTGCCTTCTAGGGCCATTCTTTTTGTTTTAATTTCTTTTTTATTTCTTTTTCTGTTTTTTGAGCAAAACAGACGCAGCTGCAGCACACAAGTTGAGGCCTAGGCCGTGAGCTTGAGGCCCCGGCATGCAGGGGCTCTTACCCTGCGCCGCTGCCACTTCGCGGCCCGACAGTGTTTGGAGCAGCCACCGCAGCAGCAGCAGCTGCTGCTGCTGCGGCAGCAACAACCGCTGCAGCAGCAACAAGGCCAGCTGCAGCGGCAGCAGCGGGCTGGGCGGCTGCTCCGGCAACGATGCGGCTGCTGCAGTCAATCCTGCTGCTGCTGATGCTGGTCGTCACCTGGTGCTGCGGGCCAGATATTGCTGCTGCTGCGCGAATCCTACTGCAGCAGCAGCAGCAACAGGGGGCCTCCACGGGCATCAGTAGTCCAACCGCAGCAGCAAGAGGGAAATTGGTGCAGCAAGCATTCCTGCAGCCCCCAGCAGCAGCAGCAGCAGCAACGGCAGGAGCAGCAGCCAGCAGCCGTCTATCAAAGCGCTGTAGTCACTTCCTTGGACCCTCATCAGCACGCTTAACAACAGCAGCAACAACAGCAACAGCAGCAACAGCAGCAGCAGCAACTGCTGCTGCTGCTAGTTATTCTGCTGCAGCAAAGGGCAGTCCATGGCGGGCCTTTCACCACACGCAGCTAAATGCAGGAAAGGACTACAGCGCACCAGCAGCAGCAGAAGCTGGGCCTGACGCAGAACCACCAGCCGCAGCGGCAGCAGCAGCAGCTGCAGCAGAAGCAGCAGCAGCAGCAGCAGCAGAAGCAGCAGCGGCAGAAGCAGAAGCAGCAGAAGCAAAAGCAGCAGAAGCCGAAGCTGCGACAGCAGCGGCAGAAACAGAAGTATTAGAAGCAGCAGCGCCAGAAGCAGCGGCAGCAGAAGCGGCACCAGCAGCCGCAGCAGCACAGGCAGCGGAAGCAGCAGCAGCAGCAGCAGCAGAAAGGGCAGAAGAGGAATCCAAGACAGCTTTTGTGTTGGACTCCTCTGTGTTCCGAGGCGCCAATCCTTTTGCTGCTCAGCCTCTAGGGGACCAGGACATCATGCGCGGCTACGACAGGTGACCTGCTGCTGCTGTTGCTGCTATTGCTGCAGCAGCAGCCGTTGTTGCTGCTGCTCCTGCTGCAGCTGCTCCTGCTGCAGTGTGTGAAAGTGTCTGCTGCAACCAGTCTTTCCGCTGCTGCTGCTGCCCCCAAGTGATGCTCTCCCAACTTGGGCAGCCAACTACCTTGTGTTGCAGCGGCATCTGCCGCTACCGTCGCTGCTGCTGCTGCTGTTGCTGCTGCTGCGGATAACCTTGCTGCTTGCTGCTGCTGAGCCGCTGCAGGTCGCTGGCTCTTTCCTTCGAGCCACCTTCATTCGGCAGACCCCCTCTGGAGGTGCCGCCGGCGGACCCCGTGGACTTCCTGCTGTCCCTTAGCAGCAGCAGCAGCAGCAGCAACAGCAACAGCAGCAGCAGCAGCAACAGCGTTCTGAA